AGATCCCATGGTATTTTTAGGTCAAATCTAGTACTTATGTTTATTTGTTGTTTCTGTTGCAGTCTCGGAGGGAATTGCATGACGTCCATGATAGCAACTTGCTCCCTTGATAGGAAAAACTTAGATGTAAGTTGCATTATTATCATCGTTACCGTTAAATATCTCTCGTCTACAATGTTTCATTGCTGCACTGGAATGTCTGTACAGTTTATTACCAATGTTGTGTCGCTGAGAAAAACAAGAAGAAAACATTATGAACTATGTCACTTCGATCAAGACAGAATCGTCGCATTGAATCTGACGAGCGCTTTCGACGCTTAGAAGATTTTCTTGCAGGGAAAGTTTGAGCGAACTTAGAAGAGCAATACGAAAAATCGCCGCCGAAAGCACGTTGGAGCACGGCAAAAAGTTGACGAGAACATAAAGTGAGCTTGGCGAAAGGTTGATAAGAGCTTGAGAGGAAGTCGACCGGAGCAAGACAAGAGCGTAACGGCAGCTTAACAAGTGTAAAGACAGCTTTACGAGAGCTTGACGAATGCGCGAATTTCGATCGTCTGGAAGCGTGATCGCATCGGTGCTGCACGAGCTATCAAAGAGACAAAGCAAACATTTGTTGTCTTTCTAATTATTTTATCTGACTGTCATATTTATTCCGTACATTGTAGAGATATTCTTAGACACTGAATGATTTAAGACTTAGAGTTTTCATCTGTAGTGTAGAGATGAAGAAAGAATTGAGGGCACTTTCTTTTTTGTTCCATAGGAATCCATTTCAACTTGTAGATTTGCGCAGCGAGTGGCCATGATCAAGAATGATGTACTGCTCAACGAGGAGATTGATCCTAAACTGGTCAGTGAAATTAATTTATTTTTTATGGAAGAAAATAGTGGCTCATTGGATTGAAAGAAATTTGTTTTGCTGTGACTTTTATTCCTTCGAACTCTGGCGTGTATCAGGTCCATCAGTATTTTTTTGTGTTGCTTGTAAGAAATGCGAAATGCAAACGTGGTTGAAATTATACAATGTCTGACTTAAAGTAATTGCAAGAGTCAGAAAGGAAATTCGGAATCAGTTTGGTTTTAACTCACTACGCTTTGTATTTTTGGCCAGGAACCCCCCAACTCCCTCTGAACCAATTAGCTGCAAAACTCATAGATTTTCGTCTATCAGGCTCTTCTGTGTTCGATCGATGTGCTTAGGGGTATTTACTTTGGGTTCTCAAACAAAGCTCCATTCGATTGTTTTTTCCTTTTTTTTGTTGAGCGGCTGTTGTGACTAATTGGGGTGAGATTTTATGTTCGTCAATCGAAAAGCGCTCCATGTAAACAATATCGATCTTTGTTTGTTTTGTTATCGTACTATAGTTGATTGCTCAACTCAAGGCGGAAGTGCAGAGACTCAAAGATGAACTTGCGATGTCCACAGGACAAGAATACACTGGCGAGCTAACGGAAGATGAATTGGATAGGTGCCGTTTGTATTTTTGTTCTCAAGTCATCATTTAGGCTTGCGTTTATTCACGTTCCAAGTGGTGGATTTGATGTAATGAAGTTAGCAAATTGTTTCCCTTTAGACTGCGCAGAATGGTGAAAAGTTACATCGAAGATTCTGATCCGGAATCATCCCTCAGTGTTGGAGCTGACATGAGAAAGATCAACTACTGCTTCCAGCTACTCAAAGTAAGTCATCAACGAGTCCTGTGAGCTCAGTCTTAAATTTTAGTAGGGCCATGATATATACCCCGTTTGCAGTAGTGACTTGTGTGGAACATTTAATCGGTTTATCAAAAGTGGTAGATAGAACGAAGGAGCATTAGGATAGTTCCTCTGTACCGACCGCCTTGCACAATATTTGTTCTTTTATACTTTGATTTCTTCCTGCAGAATCACGTGTCGGAGAAGAGCAAGCAGAACCCATCTCCTCCCCCACAGAGGTAAAGTTTTCTCAGTATATTTCAGGTTTCCTAAGCAGTTGCATTCCTGAACGTTGTATGATGGCCTGTTGATCAGTGTTCTCGATTGGAGTGAACTGGTACCAAGCCGAGCTTTCGGTGGCTCGAGTGCTAGTCGGGGAGTTATGTTGTGTTCTTAGGCAAGACAATTTACACTCACATGCCTTCCCAAAAAACCGCCAGCTCTGTGAGCCTTTGTAGTTTCTAACCTCAGCGCGGTTTAGTGAGTAGAATCATGCTTTCTTTGTCTTTCGCTCTCTCACTTGTAGGACTCCAGCAATTGATGGCGTCCTCGACAGCAGTTACTTAGGCAACCATACTGAAGTGAACAAGCTTAAGGAGCTCATTCGACAGCGAGATAACGAGATCAATATCCTTTATCATCGGTTTGAAAAGAGGTATTGGTATAACAGCTGGTTATGTTGTGGCTGTATGAACTGGCTCACACGTGGCTATGTCTTGTTAGGCTCCTAAAGGAGTGCTCTACGATGTTTATTGAGTTCGGTTCTGCAAGGCGCAAAATTGCTCTTAATTTATTGAGATTTCATGAAATGGTAGTTCGAAAAGATAGAACATGTTTACGAGTAAACTGTGGAGACATGTCTAATGTTGTATTGTTTTAGTACGCTCTTTTATGGGGACTATCCGCTGTTTGTTTGTGTTTGTTTGTGTTCCTTGTTTCAACTGGCAAATCTTTAATGTTGCAAACAGTTGGCGATGAGTGCGAAAAAGTTCTGCTTTACCCTTTGAATTTCTGTTCATCAGTTGATAAATATGCACAGGCTTGCTTACGTGATCAAAAAAATTTCGCCTTAGGTACATTGTCAGGTAAACAAGGGATGGGAATAGATATAATTAGTAATTACTGTTACATATAGTGTGTAGGGCAATACAAACGATACTTAGCGCTAATAATATGAATTATTTTAGTGAAAACTTAAACGCTTAACAAAAGACTAGAATTCTGCTTTACTTTAACCTGTGATAACCACATAACCTTCCATTTGCTTTCGATCTCTAAAAGCGATAAACGTTAACCATTGCAATTTTAAACACAAGTTTTACTTTAATGTAACCTAAAACGTAACAATGGACAATAAACTTCTAATCAAGTAATTAAAACGGTTCCTTGCGTGGTAGCGACATCAGTAAAGTGTTATGCCCTTGATCGAATTCTTGAAATAAAGTTAAACCTGTGGCCAACGTGCTTTAAAAGTTTTAGGATCGTTAGAGAGCTGCGTTGCTCATAAATTCTTGCTTTAAAACTAGTATTTATGGTCTTCTGTAACAAAGCGGTCAAGCAGCACATCAAGTAAACAGCAATGAAATATCGCTAGGAAAACTAACTATGACAAACCTGTGTTTCTAAGGCTGAACTGGGAAACTACTGGATTGACTAGCCGCGTTGCGTTGTTCGCGAGCGCGACTGTGGAGAGATTCACAAACCTGTTTAAACTGGATGAACTAGATGAGAGTTCCAAGTTGACCAAGGAAGAGCACAGCCGATACCTCACGAACACGCACGAGGAAGAAGATGCGTTTATCGGACAGATGGACCGAGAGGCGACTCTCACGCTCGGGAAACTGTCGGCCGATGTGGAGAATTTTACGCTGAGAGAGCTGAAGCAGATTCACAGGCGTTCACGAGTGGCTATCGAGGCTGGAATGACAAATAACTTGCATGTTCACAAGCATATTATCAAATTGTTGGAAAGTCATGTTGTGTTTGATTCGGAACGGCATCAAATGCGGTTGTTAGATATCGCTCGGAAAGAAGTGATAGCAGGTTACAAAACAGCGTTAGAGCGCTGCTCCACTTCTCACGACAGGCTCAGAGACGCCGAAAAACAAAGATTACAAGCTGAGGAGGATTACATCGAAGCTGTGATGGTATTGAATCGAGCAGAGCAAGAGAAAAAGAAAGTTATAGCCGTGATTGAAACCCAACAAGATGGCGGGAGTAGAAGGAGGACGACATCCATGTGAACGGAGCAAAAGTTTATGAGAATGCTGTATCTGTATCGTAATTGTCTATTTCGTGCAGCACTTGGTGTAATTCAATGCTTTCAATAGAGAAAGTGGGCGCACTGGAACTTGATTTAAAAGTCAACAACTGTTGTTTAGTCTCGGAGAGTTAGTGTTCGACCGTCTTTGCAGAGAGCGATTTCACCAAGAGCAGGGCCAAGTTGGCCTTACAGCTGAATAGCTTTGTAGTCTAAACCATGCAAAATAATTCGTTGTCTTTTAAAGATAAAACGTTGGTATCGCAGGTTTTCATCATTTCGCCCTAAATTATTGCTACAATTTGAACAAACTTGCCGCGAGGCGCTTTTGAATCTTAGGTAACTCTGTGATTGCGTCGGATTCTGTGGCTGATATAAAGGTCTCTTTTCTAAAAACAAAAATTCAACCCATAGAATAATTGTATTTTGTGTTAAATTTAACGAGAGTCTACAAAGGGTAACATGAGTAAAGAACCTTTTTTCAAGAAAGGCGAATAAATGAAACTAATATTTCGAAGGAAAACAGTAAGAAAGAAAATGACAAGGCTCACGATTTAAAATAAAAACGTGAATAAAACATGCATTCTAAACATAAAATTATACACCGTAAACATAAAGGTGTTAGTGCTGGTCTTGTAGTTGAGTTTTTAAGAGCAGAAAAGCTAAAATAATCAGTTTTGCGCATCGGAAAAAAAGGCGGGAAAGCATCAGTAGGAGCCAATGAGAGGCTAAAGTAAACAACGTGTGTGACCTCACGCACCGACTCGGTCACCCGCGTTTTCCCGCGCTTCGGGCAGTGTGCTTGAGTTCCCATTGGCTGTTTGTTGTGTTGTCTCTTTTCTGATTGGTCGTTGTGTTTAATTTTTAGTTTGGTATTCGACATCAATCGAGACGCTCTTTTGAGGGAGATATCCTAAATTCCTTTGTGCAAAACCAGGTGCCCAAAGTATATCACTGGTGTTCTTTTTCACGATCAATACTTGTGGTTCTTGTATATAAACGTAGCAAAGCAAAGAGTATTTCATTCGAAGGTGTCAACCGTGACAGGTGCCTTTTGAAAACTGGGAAGCCCTGAAAATTGAGAGAGCCGCGTTTCATTTCGGTTATGTTCTTAAGCATTATTGAACGTTTTCAATCGAAGAAGTTTATATCAAGATATGATTTGAATGTAGATGGAAAGGGTGCGAATCGGAACTCAGTAGAGTTTTTCTTTATTGGTGAGACATCCGAGCACCAAAATGAAAGTTTATTTTTCTTTCTTTTGTAACGCTTTGTAAGCTATTTTCCAGTTGATCACTGGTTTCCTCTATGTTTGTTTGACAATGTGTTTCTCCTCGGGTGATAATTCTTTAACTGCATCGTAAACTTAACACGTTTCCACTTCATGATAACTCACTCAGTCTCCTGTCTTCAGTCAAAAGTGAGACATGTTGTAGAGCATATTAACTGCTTTTTGGACAAGTTTCATGAACCAAATCCAAAGTTAATACAATGGCCAATCAGAGGGAAGATTTATTTGCAAGGAGCCAATGAAAACTAAAAAACGAATTCATGTGACTGGTGATTTGCGCGGGAAAAAGCGAGTGGGAGTCGCGGTTAGTTTTACTTCTGCATCTGGTTTGTCGAGGTGTCACGAATTGACCAGTCATTTGAGGAGATGCTCTGACAAATAAATCAACTAACAGCTAAAGAAAAAAGAGATTGGAATATATCGCTTCATTTAATTACCGGGCCTTGGCATGAAAGTAGGTAATAAGGAAGATGGAATGCTGGTACCAGTGGTCAGCCGGTACTGAATTACAAGTCATTACCATGGTTGAGTAGCTACCTATCTACCACGAGGATTTGGATTTGGTTACAATTTGCAAATTTAACAATGGCAACGTGAATTGTGTTTTTTAACTGTTTCTGGATTCGAGAACAAGCACAATAACGAATTCGATGTTGTTGGATATCAGCGTAAAAAAAGGCGACGTTTTCTTGTCAAAAAAAACCCCAAACCGTTCAACCAAAAACGCCGCCTATCTGCGCGCACTTATTTTTACGTTGGCTTTCTTTTTATATCTGACATGCGCACTGTCAACTAACAATTTTCACGTTAGTCATTGGCACTGCAGTATGTCACTATCAAGTTACTTCGTTGATGTACACGTTTTTGTGGTATTTTATCCTTCGTAATGAGCTTTGAGAGTCACTGCTTTGATCTGATCTGTTACTATGATTTGAAATGAGATATTGACTTAACTACTGTTCAGATATCTTAGTAGGCATGCTGAAGAAGGAGAAGAAGCGCACGGCTGAGTTAGAGAAGCAAGGTGGCGGCCGACTTCTGGACGGTATGGGCGCGGCACCGGATGGGATCAGACGGAGCGCTAGTCAGTCGCAAAGTGACGACTCAGAGAACGAACTGTCGAAGATGAGAGCTGCGAGCAGAACACGTGTGAGAGACAGGCCGTCGTCTGATACCACTGAGGTCTGATTGAATAATTATTTCCTCCCTAGCCATTAAAAAATTGTGGAGTGTTCACCTATTAACGTATCATGTTAGCGAAAGTTTTCAGACTTCACTAGAGGTGTGATATGTAGACGACGATACGACCATAATGAGAGGGTTGAGAGGGAGAAACACTCTTTGTTAAATATTCATCCACAGCCAACAAATTAGGAATTCACGTAGCTCTAAAGAGATTTGTAAAGTTTTTCTTTTGTGAGTTTGTTCTTAAGCTCTCGGGAGTGAGTTAAGGCGCCCTATTTCGCACTTTTCTCGATTAGAATCCCTCCGAACGAAATCCAAGGTTTATCTCCTGTTTCGTTCTACAAGAAACTTGTTTGGATTTTAATCTTTGTGGGCGACTTTTCAATCAGCGCTTGTCGTTGTCGTAGATTAGTATTAATTCTCTGCTTTTCTCAGAACAACTAGAACTCTATAGGCACTGGGAAGAAAATGAGAAAAACTCGGCTCCGCCTTGTGAGTTGATGGAGGTTCTTCCGAGTGGGTGCGTTTTCCGCGAGGTTTAATCGCGGATAGTCAATGCGGGTTTTTATCTTTTGTTCCTTTTAGAATCGTCAGCACCCTCAAGCACCTGGTGATGATCCAACTAATCACAGACCTCCATCTGCTTACAGAAGGAAACTTGGTGGGTGAAATAGCGAAAGCTTCGTTTGTGTTGCAATCAGTCCTGATTTAACATTGATTTCACCCTACCAAGCATCCGCTCTGATCCGCACTACTATAAATGAAGAACTCATTTGAAACAAAACAGAAAAAAGAATCCTCGAGGGTACGGCCTTAAAAATTGGGGCAAAACGATACATTACTTAAAGTACATGTATCATAGTAAAGGTTGTAGCGTTTGATGAAAAAATGTTCTTTGCACATGACAAGTTTAGCATTTCCGATGCGTGAATGTCTTCTGTGCATTGGTCATCCTCTTTTGCGTTCAACTTCTTTATCTCTACCACTCTTAAGAGCGAGTTTCCGGCAGACTCCTTTCCTCGGCGAAAACGGCAAAAGCTGTTTCAGTTACTGTAATGTTTTGTTCTACATTCTAGATGAGATGTCTGTCGGACGAAAAGAAGCTTTTGAGACGTTCCGCCGAGACTATCCTCACAACGACACGATAGAGGAAAATAAACAAACACTCAAGCAAAGGTAATTGTCTCGGACTGATTGTTTGCTGCTCTTCCTTTAACTTCTCCAGAGAATTTAAGTTGACAGCTTAAGAGCATCTTGTACCTGATCATTCTGATGACCACACTGTTAGAATGGATTGAAGAAATATTCACATTTGATTGCGTCTTTTGTTTTCAGATATGCAGAGGCCAAACGGCTTGGAGAGCAAGTGAATTCTTCGCGACAAAAGATCAGTAAGTCTTGTCTGCTAACGAGAGCGACTATCGCCCTTCATGTACATCACAGTCGTACAGACAGTCGTCTCTTCATGTACAGGCAGTCGCCTACCTTGCTTGCATGATTTGTGACCTTTTTCAGAGAGTGTGTATCTTTAAAGTGACTTTTTTAAATTCCAGATTCTATCAAAACTCAAATCGAGCAACAAAGAGTTCGCCGATCGATGCAAGGTACTGTCTAAGTTAAGTTCTTTTGCAAGATGTACACTGTAAATAGCTACCGCCGCTGTCTCACTCGTTTCGCAAAAGCCTTTGTGTCAATGATCTGTAAACAATATTTTTTGTTAACCTAAAGGTTTTGTAAACGGCACCGAAGGAATAGATGATGTGGACCCTGTAGAGCAGAGCCTGAGGCAAGCTATCGAAGAAGAGAAAGCCAAGTAAGTGAATGGCGTGGATTTCATGAATGTTCCAAAGCCTTACGTTCGTCGTTGAATTTGAGTTGTGCTAGTCTTCAAATAAGTGAATTCAAATTTCGTATGAAGTGCCTTCGATGGAAATCGGTGACAGAATATTCCTATTTGTTACAGAACAAACTATCCTAGTATTTAGCACACATTACGGATTTCCCGCGCTTTTCATTAGCCACGCGTTTTTCCGCGCGTGAAGGGTACCTTGTGATTTCATGCGTCTGCTATCAGTCAAGCTTTTCCCGCGGTTTCATTTATGACCATTTTTGGCTTCGAGATGAGGTCATCTCTTAGATGGCCACACTGTTAGAATGTCTGTGCTGCCCTGTGCTTTAATAAACTTGCACGTCAACAGACGAAGGATTGGTAGTAGTTGGTGAAGATCTACTGAGTGCGTGAACCTTAAACAACAGAGTGAGTAACGATCTGTAGCAGATATACAGTAAGCAAGCCTTCTCTTACTTAAATTAAATTTGTTTTTGCCCATTAATTACCTTAGATATAAGGACAGTTTCACTCGTCTTCGATCCCTGAAAACTGAGATCGAGCATCTTCAACATCTGCTGGAAAAAGCCAAAGTTAAGATGCAGAAAGATTTCGAAATATGGTGGGCAGAACAGGCGGCGTTCAACCAGGTTTGTTTTAATTTTATGAGGCCCGTGCGCTGCCTCTCGTTCAATTCTGCGATTTGTCTCTCCTACGCTGTTATCTGTGACTTTATTCTCAGAGACGTGATCGAACTTTGAATTTAAAAGCGCTCATATCACTTAAAACTTCTGTCTCTTACCTCGTATCCTTCCTTCCATCTAAATATGTTGATATACTAATGTGTTAAGGCTTATAGCATAAATCACGCCAAAGAGCGAAAATGATTATCGTATGCCACGTGAATAGGAGTTTAAGATTTTGGTGGAGTTGGATAGAAGTTCCTGGAAGAAATTTATTCCATGCTACTTTGTACATGATATAGATATTACAATTTTGCTTCTAATTCTATTTGTATTTACTAACCAAACTTTCCTCCTCAGACACCCGATGAAGTTCGAGCAGCATGGAAGACCCCTCCGATATCGCCCGTTAGACCTCCGTCCGCTTCTCGAAGACGTGATTTAGACCCGGGTGGCACGTCGAATCCCCGAGATGAGTCCTCTCGCAGCGCAAGACCCGCAAAATTCGTGTCCAAGCTACGAGCTGAAGCACAGCTGGCAGCCATGGGAGCCGTGTCATCCTCTGTCAGTAGGCCCCCAGTGCACCCCTCAAGTTCAGATAGTGGCCTTAGTAGCTGGTCACAATCTGCAGCTACTGCAACAGCGGCTGAGGAATTGAGCGGAGGCCATGCTGGACGAAGTAAATCAGGGTATGGAGCTACTCGATATGTATTGAGCATAATTTGAGCACACTAAATTAACTGTAAAACAAAATTACGTCAGCGTTATACAACGTGCAAAGAGCGTATCATCCTTACAGCTAACACTGAAGAAATATCACCGACAACTGATGGTTTGCCATACAGCTATCTCTGACGTCATCAACAACGAAGGAATCAGTTACTTTCGAATTACTTGTGTAGATGCAAGATGAAATGACTTTGTCAATGTTCGTCTTTCTTCTTCACGAAAAGATTCAAATGGAACTGACGCCCTGAAGTTAAGCGAGCAGACAAGTCCAAGGAAGTCGCTAATGTGTGTGCACATGCATTGTGTTATGTAGTGTTTAAATTTCTTTGCATTAGTTGGTTCCTGCCTCTGTTTAGTGGCGTAAAATTTCGAAGTGATTGTCTCAATCAGCTACATCCCTTTATCGTTCGCAGTTCGACAAGTGATGCAAGTTCAAGTTCAGGATCAGTGATGCTAACTGGTGACACTAGAGCTGATGCCGACATCTTGGCTTTTATAAAAGCCAGGCAAAACCTTCTACAGCAAAGAGGTTTGTTAGATTATACAGGAAAATGATTTGTAAACGGAGGGAACAAGCGCTTATTCAGGTGTAGTGGTAGAATCAAGGGGAGACTGAAACCTATCTGCCCTGAGCTAAACGGAAGAGATAGTCTCTAGTCGCCCTGTAGGTGCCTGATTTTGGTGTATCGATTCCAATCACCACGACAAGAAAAGAGATGGGTGGAAAGGGGCGAATTTAGATGTGAAGGGAACGGTGAATGGTGCATGACGAACCTGGAATTTGTTTTTGGTTTTTTTTTTTTGTTTCTAATTTTTAAAAGAAAGTGTAGCTTTTGAAGTGTGGAGCTTAGCGGGAAAAGTTGCAAAAGAGTTCTTCCTGTGAATTACACCATTTACCCACCACAACATTGCAAGAAGAATTATAAAGCAATAATAATATCTTTACTTCGCGTACAATTAACGTGACACCCAGTCTCTCTTCAAACTTGTCTAAGAAACTGTAAGGCTGCGCAAAAGATATTGCTTCGCCAGTTATGCTTCATATTAGATACTCAGGCAAACAAAAATGTCCCTCCTGTTTTCTACGCCTCTTACGCTCATTTTCTACTTTGTAGGGCATCGATAGCAAAGAAAAGTTACATCATTAAAACTCAGGAACATCTTGATACAGAGGTGACAGACAGTCAGCGATAAGAATGGCGTTCCTTCCATTTCATTGCCATCAACGCACCATGTCAATCAGATAGCCTCGTGATGAGGAAGAGACAGAAAACAACTAGTAACGGTCAAAATCTGATACGCTTCAAAATCACTGCGTCAGCTTCTGTTCCTACAAATATGGCCAAAAACAAGAACAAATTACAAATTGGCGCAAGAAATAATAAAATACACTATTTTATTAAAAGAAATGAACAGATTTGAAACCAGTTAATAATGTGTGGTCAATTCTGGTTAGGGTTTTTGTCATCAGGAAGTAACGCTCTATAGTCCACGAAACAGGCCTTATTTCAACTACTAGTTCAGTAGTGTTCATAAATGCGAAGATCGCTTCTTTATCAGATAAGATTTTGTTGTCAAAGCTGTATGACGATGTATGCACAAAAGCGTGCAGGATATTTAACAATTGATTGACCTTCTTTAGTTTCAGCTTGCGTTATGGACGTCTGAAATCCACGGTCCTAAAATTTCATTAAAGTACTTGTCGGATCAATTTTATTTTTTCGAATGTGGAAAGCGCGAAGATTGTAGTTTAAGGAAGGAAACTATCTGTTTGCCACGAGGAAAAAAGCAATCAGTGGGGAGAAAGTGGCTTTCTATTTAAACAAAATTTATTGTTATGCGAAGGACGCAGGATTGAAGATCAAGTTTTCATGATTTTTTGCAACTTGTAACATCACACGCAAAGATCGCATGGAATACGCATCATATTTATCGCCCTCCTACCATGAATCTTCGTGCATAATATTTTGTTCCCCGCAGGTATCCCACGTAACAAGGTAGACAAACGAGAGACTGTAACAACATGTTTACCCTTTGCACCCTAACATCAGTATGCATATTCTCCATAATGTTCTCTTATATTTCCCAAGGCGCTGACATGGAGAATTTGTGTAACAATCAAGAACTTCAATTGTTAATCATTTCTTTTAATTCTCGTGACCTTAATGTTTGATCAAGGGGTGACATTGTGAGGAGAAATTAGACGCTGGTCTCTCTTAGGGGTCAAAGGGAGGTCCATCCTTTCTTTACCCGTATCACGTCACATAAACGTCGTTGCGTTCATTTCAGGTTTTTTCAGTCATTTAATTATTAGTTTACCTTTGACCGAGACAACTCTCACTCGCGGTCTTCGAAAAATCACTTTCCCTTACATTTTCAAAACTTACACTCGAAATCATGTGATTATACCAGCAAGTGTAACAATGTCCGACAATAAACAACGAAATTAGAAAGAGAAACTTGAAATCGTTTTTTTCAAGTGGTGACAGATGGTGAGCAAATATTCAATTCTAAAGAAATACTGCAGTCATTAAGAAACTTCTTGAAACTTAAAAATCATGCGTATTTGATACTGATACAAGAAGACGACCGGCTTTACTCACAACAAACTATAATAATAAATGATGGCCGATAAGTTCTTAATTCTGCAACGAAAAGGAAACAGTTATCAAAGAAGTATTGGTCGATAATATTTTTCAAAGAATTCAAGCTTTTCAATAATGTCCCTAGTTTAATTTTGTCAACTGAACTATTTTGCTTTATCCATTACTTTACCAAACCGTTGGTCATGTGACAGTATGATCTCGCGCTTCGCTATAACATTTAAGTTTTCCCAATGTATAAAATCCTTCTTCGCGCGGGTTATCCAAATCTCCGAATCTCATTTGTGTCACAATTTCAAACTGAAATCAAGGTGAACAGCTGATCCCAAAGATTTTAAGTGTGCACTTTACACACAATGATAACAACCTTCACAGCATGATCTTATATATACCGTACATCATTTGATGACAGATGTTAATTAGCTTCCAAAGGTTAACAGTTCATGATGATTTCTTCGGGAGTCAAAGCGCCAAGCCACCGGTAGTTTCTAAGTGAGAACGTAACAGAGATCCACTTTCCCTAGTCCCCTGAGGTGACCCCTGAATGGAGATTACACTGTATTGATGGTAGACCTCAAAGGTGTCGATATCTCTTTGTTTTAAAACGAACACTTGTTGTGTCTATAGAAGAAAATATTGTTTTACAATTTTTGGTTCTGTCTTATGCAATCGACAACATATTCATACTACAGTAAGGTCACTGGCGATGTAAATGGAGGAACATACACAGATGTTATGACCCAACTTGGACAGATAAGGCAGCTGACGAATGCGCCATTCCCAGAGTATTTCCCCCCACACAAGTGTACACTCCGCTATCCAGTGACGTCACGTTTTTAATTACCAGGCCAACAGGTGACAGAAAAACTCTGCGTGACTGCGCAGTCTCACAAAAATGAATTAATTAGCGGTTGAGTGTCAATTATTCATCCTATTCGTGAATCATCTTTCTCTTGTGGAACAGTGCCTCATTAGTAGGTGGGATGCGGGACAACTCTTCTGCAAAGCTTCCTTACAGCATTATCATACAACCTCTGGTTCTTTTCAATGCTGTAAAAATTGTGCCATATCAGTAGCCATATGCAGTCTCAACTGCCTATTTTTTAGTTTGTGTAGTGCCGTACTCCAGTTAATGTTTTGTTATTGTTAATTTCTTTTTTTAGAAAAGTTTGGTTTGGCTTTGTTCATTCCACACGTTCATTTTCTCGGTTGCCACACTAAATAAACCACTAGGATCCAGTCAGTAATTCTCCCTTCCAATTTCTGTACATATCCTTGCAAACTCGACCGAAAAAGGTGGTGTGACATTAATACATTTTCAGGTTAATAAGCTTGTCTGTTCTCACCTTAACTTTGCAGGTAACCCATTGAGATCGCAAGGAGAATTTACAATTTTGATCATCTCGTAAAGCAGAGGGTTCTAGTAAAATTCTTTATGGTGTGAAACAACTGTCGTTATGGAATTTTAGACTAGAAACCCAGGTTCCTTAAATAAAACATGCGAGTCATAATACATTCGCCACATTTATTCAGCCTTCAAATTAATTGTCTTTGTTAAATTTACAAATGAAAAAACGTAGCGTGTTTCTTTAATTTACAAAAAAAGCCTAAATACGTACAAATGATAAAACACCACCATTGAACGGCAAGGAGGAAAGAACTCAAATGAAATTATTCACTTCAGTCTGTTTCTATACAGAAATTTGAAAACAGCTCTATAACAATGCTACTCAATCAAATCAATAAGTCAACATTTCCAGAGCGAATTACTGACTCAAGTCATAATATAATATTCGAGCTAAATCATTAACAAAACTTGGAATCAATTTAAGTTACAATATGATTTAATATATATTTATCTATTGGATTTTGGTACACTTTACGACATGTGTAGAATAACTCGGGGAAAAAAACCAGAACGGCAATAGTTTGGTCAGCTGTTGCCACGCAGTTCAGGCGGGAAATTCGCGCACAATCGACAGCCATTTTTTAAACCAGTTTAACAAATTGCCAGTCAGTTGAACTAGCTAAACAAGTTACGAATTGGGAGAAGAATTAACGTCATTCTCTGACAAAAAACATGTTTGCGAGAGTTTCATCTCTATCGGAACAAATTACTCGTAGCCATGCAAGAGCCTTTCAACTGCGAGCTGTAAGTTTAAAAAAATACTACACTAAAATAAATTGGGCACACAATTAATGAAAACTTCGAGAAACAAAGCTGTTTGTCTGTCTAAAACGCGCCCTTGTTTTGACAGACTCTACAATAACTTTGAAATTATGCATTAAATTACTCAAGCAAAGAAAAATACTAACTCTTCACCACGTACAGCCTTCTTCGAGACGCTTAAAGGGCTCTTGTGACGTTGTTTACTCAACTGCTTACTCTATATAGCAAAGAAACTACGAGGCTTCGGCTGGGAAACCGGCGCAGGACTGAACACAACGGCACGGATGTCCTGGCGGCTATGAGCTCTGTTTTGCTTTTGCTTAAACACTTCCAAGAAATTAAATTTAAAAAATTTAAATCTAGTCTCCTGTGAGGTAAATATTATTGCTAACACATCATATTAGTGTTTTCATTTCATCTTCACCCCAAATTGCACTGAGTTATGCGCAATTTATAGAACTACGCCTTAAAATTTAGTTTGCGAAGGACTTTCTTGGAAGTTAAAACTTGATAGCCTCAACTTGGTTTCAGTAATTAAGAGAGTATTTTTTTTCACTCCTTTTAAATTTCTTCGAGAAATTTACTCTTGAGTCTTGTGTTTTCATTTTTCCTTCATTTTGAGAACTCTATTGACTGTCTCTGGTGAATTTTTATTTCTCCTTGGAGAAAATGACATTCTGTAAAGCTGCCGTATTTCGCTTTCAAATAAAATACGTAACTACCAAACTTACACAACACAACACTTCTATGTTTCTCTAAACACCCTGATCCAAATTTACGTACACAGAATTACCCGTTGTCAGCGAAATACGAACAGCGTTCTATTGTCCGAGAACCATGCGCAGAGAAGACTGTTCGCAGTATTTAATTCTTTCGTGGTATCCTCGGTGAAGCTCTCGGAGAAGCTCGTTCACGTTCGGAACCGTTTTCAACGCGCCAAGCCTGCTTCGGAGGCGCTGTTCGTCTACGACCCTTCATTTTACTGAGTTCGTCTCCAAACACATCTCCAGTTCGTAGGGCGGAGATTAAATCGTCGAATTCGCCGCGATTATCTCCAGCTGTGCTCATCTTTTTACTATTCTTTTCCGGTGCTTGGTTACTATGAATGACTTTCTTAGCCGCTGATCTTTGCCGATCTCTTTCCTTTTGCTAAAAATAAAAAACACAACGTTCTGAATCTTATAGGAAAAAAGTTATTTCGTCAATAACAGCTGCATTGGAGTTAAAACCACCTTTCCTATCAAATCTACGTTCCTAGTTTAAAAATCCACAATTATACCCCCATATAAGAATCTTTTATTTAGTAAGTTTAGATAGCTTTATTTATCCGAGCAAATGTATGGAAAATTTCTGACTTTCATGTCTGCGTTAATGTAAATTGCATAAGCTTGGTTTGAACCAGGACTCATCTCATGTCGGAGTCAAAAACGTTAATCCAGTCCACAGAAATTAAAAAAAGCAAGGGAATTTAAAAAAAAAAACCTGTTTTACCTCAGCCATTGCTCGCGCTTTTCTTTCTTCTTGTTCCTTCCTTTTCTTCATTTCCTCATTCTGATGTTTTGCTTCCTGCAAGACAAGAAAATACCATGACTCTTATTAAAACGCCCCTCGCGCAGTGAAGCCAGGGTGTCAGCTATCACATCAATTTTATTCTTCTCTAGTCAAAACAACAAAACACATCTTTACTGTTACAAATTTCGCCTTGGCCGACCTGGTATGAAATGTAAAAACAGCACTAGCTTCCGCTAGTTGACTAGAGAAAGAAAGGAAAAACTTACCGCAAATGAAACCAGGAATGCTGAAAACAGACCGAAAAATTCGTCGGACTGAAGCTGTTTTGGTTCCTCACCAAACATGGACACTGCCTTGGCGTACTGAAGAAGCAGTAACAGGAATTAGGCGCTTTTTTGTTAGAAAAGGAACGTTTGTTAGTGCAATTACATAAGTACTTAACAGCTGACTGTTGAATAAACCACTGAGCTAATTCCTTTCCCAAATAGCAAGCTAGACCAATTTTCAATTGAGTTTCAAATGTTATCTGGAATTGTATTGGTTTTGCTTCACCGACTCCGTGATTGGTGAAAAAGAAAAGCTCGCAGCTCCTTCTCAATCAATCAGATAGAAAACTAAACCCAATAACGACTTGGTCGCCCGAGTTTTCCCGCGCTTTAGGCGGTTTCCTTCTTTTTCCCTTGAGTTCTCATTGGCTCTTCAAGGTTCTTTCCTGTTCTCTAATTGGTAGTTACTTTAGGTTTGGTTTACGATGCCAATCGAAAAGCTCTCTATCTGTGAATGATTGACAGGTAAGTCAGCTGATTAACCGAACGCTCTACACAATCAAAATTTAACCTTTTGCTTCATATCTTTCCAAGATTCGTCCAATTCAGAGAGCGAGAACTGTGCAACTTTCACGAAAGAGCCAATCGCCTCCACAAACTTGTCGCCGTGGATTCGCTCCTTCTTCTTCTGCTGAAATTCCAGCTCCTACGAAACAAGTTGATAATTTGATTTACAAATAATTCATACCCAACTTCAAGAGCGAATAGACTTGTATAAAGGGCAATTTACCTTCTCAACCTCTTTGAGTTCTTTTTTTATGGCAGCTGATTCACTCTCCAACTCACCCAAACTGAAATGGAATAAAGATTACTTCAAAGACGGTAAGGTTTACGTCCGCTTGCAAACCTTTAGGCTCATTCTAGCAAAACATGTTTTGCTAGGTTGCTAAAATTCGTAGCAACCGCGAATCTCCCCAAGACAAACTGGCCTGGTGAATAAATCCGAAAAACACAACACCGAAAAACGGTGTAGAACTCACTTGACTTTTGCAGCTGTCCTCACGTGTGCTAGTTCTTCTTCTAACTTGAGTACCTCAGGATACTGTAAATAAGAGGTGCTTTTTCTTAAAACAATAATAAATAGATTTAGCCAGGCCTAAACGCGGAGCTCGCATTTTTTTCCTGCACGTCTCAAGGGCACAACGCCTTGCCCCGGCCGGGACTAGAACCCGGGTCGTCCGACTCAGAGCCCAGTGCACTAACCACTGGACTACTGAACAAAGCCGTGGCGTTGGCGTGCCCGCAGTACAGTTGACCACGCATGTTAAAAGTAGCACCTTGTACGGTCTTACGATCGTACGGTCGTACATCCAAATTTTTTCGGCTTGATGGGTTACTACTATTTAGTATAATTATGGGGCTTCGCTCTGCGAGCTCCGCTTTCATATAATGAAACTTGTTACAGCGAGTAAAAACAGTTCAATTTTGGATTCCATTCGCTTACTAAATTACGAAAACCAGTGCACATGCTCTCTTGACGTAAGCCTCAAACATTTTTTGGCTTTTTGTTAAAGGGAGGGGGGAGGAAGGGGTGTTAATGACTCTGGATTAATAAATCCTTATGTGAGAAACTTACCTTTCTTTCCAGAACCATAATCAGGTAATGAAGGAGAGTTATTTTTGAATTAGAGCTTGACTTGGTGTCCATTATTCTGTTTAGACTGCCCAGCTTAAAACCTAACAAAACAAAACAGTAAGCGTTTTCTGGGCTGAAACAATAACTGACTAACTGAAACTTTCATTTTGGAACTGGTTAAAATTGACTTCGAATTTTTATCTTCAGTGGTTTTACAATTTTCAACGCCTTTTTTGGAATGTCATTTTAACCAAAAAGCTATAACCTTCAGCTAAACTATGGTATCTCACCAGCAGCATTTCCTCTTGCTCCTCTGTTCATGTAATTACCAAACGCTAGAACAACTTCCAGTAATATTCTAAGTCTTTTACTTCTCTGAAGTTCTTTGGATGCTTCCAACACAGCTGCGGCAAAAAAATTACATTCAAAACAATTGACACTTTCTCCCAGGTTTTAATATCTCGGTTTCTATGCTCAAAACAACGTTGTACAAGAGTTTGACAACGACAAAGGAAGCGAAAACAAACAAAAACCATTATACCGTTTTTACTGCCACTCATCTGATTGAACTTATCGCCAACCTGTCAAAGCTGTGCAAAGGGAATCTACTAAACGAACAGCGTCGGAGCTCGTCTATTGTTCTCGGAGAATTCGTGCAATATTTTGAGCGAACTATGGTGATCTTTCGTGCTGATTGCGTATAACTTCTGAAAATACTTCTTTTCTACTGACTTATTCCAGAGGAAAAAAATTTTCTCATTCATAAAACTGATGGATTCAAATACTGATATGAAGGAAATAATATAACATTAAAAGTCAGCATAGCATTCCCTCACCTTGTACCTTCGGTTTAACTTCGCCCATTCTCTCGGGAAATCTCTTTTTGTAAAACAACGATTTTAACCTCTGCTCGTAGTGGACAATTCTGCAACGTTTTCAAAGAAGCAACGTAAATGAAAGACAAAGTTTTATCGATTATTATAAGGATAAACTTAGCACCACAGAACATACCTTGACATGTCATATAAAAATCTATCTGCGCGAGCAAATTGCTCGATTTCTTTGTTGTGCGCATTGAGAAGATTCTTCTCGTCTGATGTTGGGACGTACTTGAGAAGCTAAAAAATAAAACACATAAACAAATCTGGTCAAACGTCCACCTGACTATGAGGCAAAGTTTAATTCATTTGCCTTGCTTCGCTTTGTGATTGGTCCAGAAAACTAGTGCCACCCTCTAAACCAATCAGAAGCAAAAAAAAAAAACCAAACGCGACTTGGTCACTCGCGTTTTCCCGCGCTTTCTGCAGTGTTTTTATTTCCTTAAAACATTTCCCTCCTTTTTGATAAGCTTCATTAGACCGTTAAATCGGAACTTGCCATTCTTTTGGCCACCGTTTGTGACATAAGTTCAACATGTTTGTTTACTCAAGATTTTTTTGAAATTTTTAGTTTTAAAAAAACTATATCCTAATACCTGTTCCACCATATCTTTAGACAGCTCGTCATTCGCATCCACTGAAAGAATTGCTTTAGTTATTTCTTCATCCGTCATCTTCAGCTTCGAGAGCAGAATGCCGCAGTTCTAAAGAAGTCAAATACTTCAGTTTTAACACTTTCATTGACAACAATGTATTTCACAAGAAGTTTCATGATAATATAGCACCCATTTTCTTCAACAACCTGAAAATCTTTTCAAGAACTGACAAAAGTTCAAGTTCTCCTTAAATTACGAATACTAAATACGATGTTGAAAATAAAAAATAAATTCGTGCATCAAGCTGATCGATTCGTCGATCGTTCATTCGATTCTCACCAGTCATATTGAGAGAAACATAAAGCATCTCTAAAGGAGAATTACTGCACTGACCAATACACACCTGAGCGCGTCTGCTGTCAATAAGTGACATCTCTTTTGGTTTTGAGACACTATCTGCACTGTCCTTTTGGTCTTTCTAAATTTATCGTAAATTGAATGAAATAAAAGAATAAAAACAATAAATTGACATACGATCAACGATGCCTAATAAAAATGTACGCTTAACTTCAATGTCTTTGGTTGATGTCAAATAATAATAGTAATCTGTACCTCTTTCCTTTGATAAGCAGAAAACATTCTATCAAAATCCTCAAAATCCATGACAGCATACACCTGAACAATACAAGTAATTCAATGTGATTAAAACCGACATAACATAAAAGGAAAGTGAATTTTGCGTGGAAGCCAGCGGTATATACGCATTAGTCAACGGACTAAGCATCTTCTTGTTGCAGCCCGACTATGGTACTGGCTAACTGTTAAACTTCCAAGCTCGGTAATAAACTCTTAAGACTAGCAGCAAATATATATGAGAAGTAGCAAGTTACCATTACTTTCTAAACAGGATGACGCCATTTTATCTTTAAATTGCTGTATTATTAATTAATCATGGGCAATTAATTGTTACCTTCGCATCATCAATGTCAGTCCACACAGTTCCTTTTATTTTAGACTGAAAATGAAGAACAAGAAACATGAGCGAATTTTACGATCATTGTCAATGCAATTTGTTCATGCACGGCCGACCTTTTCAACAGATTTTGCATTAACGAAATTTCCCCTTCCTACAATTAACACCTGGTAACCTTTTTCGAAAATCCTGAAGACACATTTAAAGCCCTTTTCTAGAAAGTCTCAGCTTCAACTATGTCTCTGGGTACTAAGTAGGAACTGAGCTACCTCGTTGCAAGTAACCCTTTAATATTTTACAGGTTTCGGTTACAATTAAACGCTACATGTACCCATTTAAATGGTATACTCCAGGGTCGAGAGAGAGACTGTGAAAGTGTCCTGTGCCCAAAGTGTCCTGCCCAAGAACATAACACAGTGACCCTCCAGGCTCGAGCCTTTAGATCCCAAGTCCAGCGCACTAATCTCTAAGCCACCGCGTCTACAAGTTTTTTGGAGCATTACTTAACATACAAGAAAGCCACTTACATCCGGTAATTTGGCCCAATTGAAGGACTTGAGTGGCTGAGAAGGTTTTGGTGCCTTCCTGTTCGGTTGCTTGCTAAACCCGAAGAACCCACCATCGGACTTGCCACCGGGAGGTGGGGGAGGGGCTGGACTGCCTGGAAAACCACCAGGTGGGGGAGGTGGCGGGGGAGCTCCTCCCGGAGGGGGTGGAGGTGGTGGTGGTGGTGCAGCAGGCCCTCCTGGTGGCGGGGGAGGAGGGGGTGGGGGACATACACCTTGCATTGGTGATAGCTTGCCGGCAGCAGCTGCACTGGTGAGGTTGGAGATCTTGGCGTCGTCTGGTATTGATCCACCAACACCTTTGAGGATTTCTTCGAGCTTGAGTCTTTCTTGTCCTTCAAGTTCAATCTTGGAGGAAAAACGTTGATGAGAGTTGTAAGCAGTCGTCGTAGTATGGAGTAACGAGTGTTGAGTTTACTGAATTAGTATGTCAACATTGAACAATATTTGAGACGTACACTGATGTGGCTTGTTCTGTATACGTTTTCATCCCAGGAGTAAGCGCAGAACAAAGAACTAATCTCACCTTGGCTTTCGCCTCATTAAGTTTGGCTTCTTGTTCACGGATCTGTTGCATGGCTTCTTCTCTTTCTTGGGATTCTCTTTCGAGTTTCACAGACATTTTATCAAATGCCTCCTTAAGTTCTTCCTACAGAACAATTCAAAATGCTATTAAAGTGGGCTACAACAAGTCAGGATGTAAGTGTGATGCAGCTATTTTTTCGACTTGGTGGGGTCCCTGTGCCGAAGAGATGGACTATGCAAGGTGCGAAGTTCCAACTTCTCGTGGCTCGCTTACTGTAGTAACTCTCAGTAATACCGCCCCAACGCAAGCAACGCCAGTCTCTGAAGGGAAAATATTGATTAGCACCTCTCCTGAAAAGGTACGGTGATAATTCTAATACCCTAGAGACAAACGCCCGATTGGTTTCACTGAGAAAAGATACCATGCACTGTGATTATGAAATCACTTCAGCTCTTTTGTTCTAAGTGTGGTGTGAACGCCTCTTACCAGTTCTTCTTTTTTGCTATCCACTTCTCTTTCTTTCTTCTGAAGTTTGGCTTTAAGACCTTCCACTGTAACAACAACAAAAGAATAGTTATTTGTGACAAAAATACACCCTTACTAAAACAAATCGTTTGGGGGTCATGGCTATTATTGTAATTCACTAATTCCGTTTAAAATGTTCATGCGAGAATAATGATAATGATGTTTTTATTAAAAAGAAATTCATAAAAACAGAGGTTTCCAACTAACAAAAATCCATTGACCATTGCCGATTGTATTAAACGAATAAAAAGTGAAAAAAAAACTTGATCAATCCATTGGCTCACCATCTTCTCCAAGTTCCTCCCTACGTAGCTCGTCTTCATGAAGTAATCTGTGCCGAAAAAAAAAAAAAAAGGTTTTAAGACTGTTGAAAAATGTTAATAAGAAAAGAAAAGACTAGCAAAGACATGTAGGCCAGTACAGCATGCTCCAAAAGTCACGTCACTCACGTGTCTAGAATGTAATTCACATTAATATCCAATGGTGCCACATCCGGGTCACTACCGTCATCTTCCTGGACAGAGATTTGCTGAACGACTCTATCAATCAACTGCCAAAGTCTCCGAGCCACACCATGATCATCTTCAATAACAAAAAGACATTGCTTGTGACGCTGTGCTCATGCGCAAATGCGAGTGATTGCTTACTCTGTGTGTGCAGAACCGTTAACGTGTATTGCAGGATCACAGGCACTTAACGCACGTGCAACTCCCACGCATTACACGTGCAACGGCATGTAACTGACAACAAATGTTTCAATCAATAGTCGCCGTTTGCCGTCAGCCTCATAATTGTACGTAAAACAAACTTTCAACAAAACTACAGATGTAATTAAATTGATAGTTATATTATATCAATGATGGTTGGCGTTAATGATACCTAGAATAGTTGTCATAAAGAACTACAACGTTCATAACGATCTGAAAACTGAAATAACCCAGACTTACTCGTAACCAGGAGCAAATGATGAAGAATTGACAACAGATGTGGATAAGCTGATGTTGTACACAATTTCCTTCTAAGAACATCAAACATACAGCTCGCACTTCTTAGATCAATGTAAGGCTGCAAAAACAGAAACATTTCAATACATTGTTGGTACTTTTGTTACAAATATTACAAAGTGCTCGAACAGTTACAAGAATTAATCAGATACTTACCATTCCATATCTCTTGGAAAGTTCTTTTTCATCATCAAGCCTTACTATGTCAAAAAAGTTAAAATGCCTGGAAAACATAGCGTGACAATTGAATTTTAAAGACAAAGCAGCAAAGTTATAACAGTTTTCAAAAGAAAATAACTTTTTTCCATCATTCCTAGTTTTGAAAGTTTGTTGCTTAATTTGTACTTTTACTGTGAAATACCTGCATTAACAAGTTTCCTACTTTTTTTTAAGTCAATTGACACTGAAACATCAAATTGTCAAACGAACAAAATGGCACAGTAGTGTCAAGATGTATATTCTAGGATGAGAGTGATGTTCCTCTGTTGACGACGTGCAGTTGGTTCTAAACTTTCATTGAAAGTTTGCAGAAATTAGCTTTGCATTGCGGAGTCTTAATTACACTGTGGTTGCCGACGAGTCAATTAAGACAAACCTGTCGAGAGTTGCATTTTCCAAAGTGCGCAGCTTCTCAATGACTGGCTCAATTCCTAGCATAAGGAACTCGAATCGAAGATGAATACGAAATTCGAGATGTTCCTGTGGGGAAAAAAAGAGTTACTTAGATAATTACACAAGCTCTCGCTAAGAAATACACCGTCGTTAAAATTATTGAGTCAATATGGCTCAGGACTGCTGTGAAAAACAGAGATTCCAATCAGTGCTAGTCAAACATTCTGAATGATGTCTCGTCCTTTTGAAAACAGAGTTAACTGTCTACTTTCCCGCACCACACTGTTCTACTCTGACCGAAAAATAATAGGAAAATGACTGCGAGGACTATCGATTTGTTTTTCAAACATGTTAAGGCCGGGGTACGGACGTGGTGTTATAAATTATTTGAAATATAACCGGTTGATCCTATGACCAACTAAACGCATACAGTGCAATTTTCTAGTGTTTTCGAACTTTAAAAATCCAATCATTCTCATAAATCAACCAAGTTTTGGAATTCTAAAGTAACTTTTACACCACCATGAAAGCATTCTAACAATTAATGATTTATCGCTATGACAAGTACTATGGACGTACCGCTCCTGCTCCATATTTCAGAGCAGCGTTGATGAATGACATAATGGCTATTTTCAAGTTAAACTCTTCTCTGTACTGCCCAGTCGTACGATCTAGGTCATTGATCAATGTCTGAAATGAAAGAAAATTTTTTTTTATTGTTTTCTTCAGATGAACAGTCCATAAACCAAAGATAAACTCACCTGGAATCTTGTTCGTTCCTCATTGAACCTTTGAAAGTGAGTCATGGCATCCAGTGCCTTCTTGTGACCACCAGGTACCAAACAGACAGCGCCAAGGATTTCTAACACTGCAAGGAGAGACACATGTTCAAGTCCACCATTGTAAGTCTGTGATCATCACATTTACATGTATGCACAAAATCCATTTTGGCATCTACTACGTGCATATAAAAAAATTATATACATGTAAGGGCCTCTTCATATGAGCCTTGCAAATTAAGACTGCTCCAGTTAGTGCCAACTCACACCTACTACCCCTCCCCGCCTTTTTTGTAAGTAAAGCCTTGATGTGTTCCATTTACCCATAGAATCTTTAACACAATCCGGTTCAAGAAATGAGTTCCATCCCTTCCCAACAGTGGGATAAAGACTATGCTTCAGAGAGGAAAGAAATCCAGGCTTAACAACTTTGAGCAAGGTTGCAGCAATTGGACTGAAAATTACCAGCCAGAAGAAACTTGCGAATGCCAATTCGTGTTCATCTTGGCAATCAATCTTAAATTCTTCTAAGAAAAGTAAACAAGCTAAAATACTATACATAGCTCAGTGTACGGGCTATAAATTCTTTAACAACAGTTATACCCTTGCACCTGTTTTATAAGCCTACCTTGTATTTTAGTTTTGACATTTTCAGTGCTCATACTTTGAGCAATGACATTTATACATGATGGGTGTGCCAACACATGTGCTCTTCCATGCTATAAGAGAAGGAAAGATATGTTTTTACCAACAATCATGCAAGGAGATTTTTAGTAAACTGCGACAGCCCACTCACTCCAAAGAACTCACTATCTGCCAGTCTGCCCCTTACTGTTAGTCACACAGTTCTCATAATTGCACTCCTGAGAAATTGGTTTTAAATCAGGCAATATTCTCTAGTTGATGTATTTAACTCTTTAAACAGCTTCTCCTTAGCAATGCAAGGATACTGTAAGGAGATATTACATGTCCATCACTCCTTCAGGTGAAAAAGATCATATAAAGATTACTGTCAGTAGTGATACTCACTGAGCTGTTCATCAGTGCTTTAAAACATCCTATTGCTGCAGTGTGAATTTTACTTTGACTGGAAAGAAAAAAGAGAATTTCATTGGAGTACAGTTAAATAAATGAACCCGAACCTATACAAGAAAGTTTACAAATAATGAATTAATGGTACAAAAAGCTGCCATATTTGTGCAAAGAATGCCATCCCCTGCCCTTGCAATACTACACAAAGTTAATAATCAGTCTAAAGAAACAAATAACGACCTGTAGAATAGAAAATTGAACTGTACCTTGTTGCATAGTCCATATTTTCTAAGAAATCCAATAAACAATTTAAACCTTCTAATTCGATAAACCTATGAACAAATCTGCAACAAAAACAAACAAAAAAACAATCAGGCCTCATTGTTTAAAATTGTTCTACTACACATATAAGCCAAGATTAAAATAAACATACTAAAATTATTTTCATTATAATGGACATACACACCTCAAGGGCTGAGTACGAAGTGCAGTCTTAAGTCCATCTACGAGTTTTGCTCGTGTCTCTATCTCCTCCTCACTCTTAAAAATGTAAATCTGTAACAAAAAAAAGTGCCATCTGCCATCAGACCAATTGACCCACACTCCCCAACCTTCTTCCCATTTCTGCGACAAGAAGCAACTAAGAGTTATGCCACTCCCCATGGATAAGATGCTAGTTCATTACAGGCTCCACCCTCCCCTCTCTACATTTTGCTCAGCTTCAAGACAGTTTGCCAGAAGCACTGACAAAGTGAAGTGTTTTTCTCAAGACAACAAAACAACCACCCAACCCAGTTTTAAAACCCAGACTGCCTGCCTCAAAGTCCAGCACCCTAAAAATGCCGTACTAGTAATAACAAGGTCAAAGGTGAACACCAAAGTCGTGACTGATGCCTATGTGTTAAGAGGTAAGTGTGAATATACAAACAACTTTCATGTAGGACTTACTGATTGGAGGCTCTTCAACTGATCTATGTAGTACTCTGGATAACTGGTGGAACTTAATTCTTGTTGTTCCTGAAATTTTATGCATAAAAATTAGAAAATAATAAAATCACACAACTCATGCACCTCAAAAGCCAGTAAATCCTAAGGTGTGCAATACAGCGATGTAGAAGTATTTAACTGTGTCTACTGCTACATATAGTTAACCACAAGTTTCCCGCAGATTCCATCCAGTTTTTATGGACAATTGCTTGGCAGTGTATATGAATGTTCTTGGTACATTGGAAATATAGAATATCTATAATCCACCATACACTGTGGATGATTCTACATAATTAAAGGAGGCTGTCTCTTGATATTTGTGCTGAAAACAAATGTCACAAACAATCAATCTTTGAAGGATATCATGAAGAAAGGCAAAACTAATTAAAAAACTATAAAATATACCTTTGATTCCCTCTTATTGATACAGATACAGTTGTAAATTATTGTCTGTCGGTCATTTTTTCCCCTCTTATTCTTTGATGAAACTGAGAGAGGCACTAATGTTCAACCTCCTCTGAATCTATTGGCCACTCTCTAGCAATAGGCTAACAATATGATTGCCTCAATACCAAAACAATTAAATTAAAGGAAAGCAGACAGATTGTCTCTGGAAAAAAAAAAAAGATATTTCTAACTCATCTCACCTTAGTGTTGTTTTCACTTGTTCTATATATTAAATCAGAACCTAAATTTGTTACAACTTAAAATCAACAATGTTGATCTCTGTATCTGTACATGTATGTAAGTCAATTTTCTGTGATGAGTTAAAATCAAACTTTAAACAGTAAAATCCACACAATGCAATTAAAAATTTCAAACAAAAAAATTACGATAAACAACCTGCCTTGAGATTAAAAAACTGCAATGGTGAACATGTTGCCCAGTAAATTCATGTAATGACAACCGTGAAAATACACAAATCACTACTTTAGCATATAGAAGGAATTCTTTAGAGAACTGTACAATGTACAGAATTGTGCCAAATCAACACTATTTGTTAATTGCAGAAAATTCTTCTATAAATCTTCAGAAATACTAGTTTATGCTCTAGCACAGCTTAGTCACCACATGTACAGATTGTGTGACCCTACTTTCTCAAAGATGAGCACTCAGATCTCTAAGACAAAAGCCCCTCGAATGGGTAACCTGTGCTGCTTTAACCATGTATGTAAAATATTACACAATAAGCTGAGGATATAGTACTTCCCTTGGAGAGATCATAAAGAAAGTAATTTATCCCTGGGATTCGCTTTCTTTTAATTTTTCCTTTGCTTTTGAACAATAAATGAAAATAATTTAATTTTAAAATCATAACAAAACTTGAAAAGAAAGTTACTTGAGGAATCATTGATTGCAATTATCTTGATGATAAATGACAACTGTACTGACAACTGTACTGTATATGTGCATGGTAACATCACCATAAAAAGTTCTCAAAGAATATTTACTGATCTATACATGTATTTATGTTTAGCTACATTGAATCCCAAGCGCACAACCTTGGAACTGTCCATGCATGACAAGTCAATATTCTGATATCAAACCACTAGACAGTCTGTCTATAAAAAAAAACTATGTCATTCAATTTCACTCCTCAGCTCTTTTATTAAGTGTGACCTCTTACGCCAAATTGTATACAGGGGAGGAAGTAAGGTTGAAATTCAAGGCTACTGAACCAGCTAAAATAGGTTAAAAAAGCTATTTGATTTGGATCACTATTGTTTTAGAGGTCAAGAATTCTATATTCACAATAATTATTTGTGATGAATGATATTGGTTGCACTAGACAACTTCACCATTTATTGACAAACATATTAATTTGATTAAATAATCATTTTAAAATCAGTACTGTTATTGTAATACATTTTTTTCTTAAAGCATGGGTAGAAAATATTTCAGTCTCTGAAATTATATTTTTAAATGGCTCAGATGGTTAGCTAACAAGCTTAAGCCTGGAGGCTTCAAGAGAGAAAAAAATAAGCATGCTTATCATTCAAAATATTCTGTCCAAAAGATGGCAAAGACATCTAAAAAATCCAAGATTTAATGACCAATGATGATTGAAGTGGAATCTAATCACAATGGGCAAAATAGAAAAAGGAGATTTCTTTACTTAATCTTAACAAGGACTTTGTAGCAGAAAAATTAAATATAGATATTTTAGAGAAACCTTGATACTTTGAAGCAAAGAAAGTAAAAACCTATTTTTCAGAGGAACTTTAATTCTTTAGACCAGATGGTTTAAAAGTAGACAATGTTGCGTCTGACCACAAAAAAAGAGAAAAGCCCTTGAACAATATATTTGGATTTTAAAATACATTGGATGAACAATCACTACCATAATACTTCTATTTCTCAACATTATACCAAATGTTAATCATTTTTGGTCTTCTTGATAAAACTTGTAGTGTGCCAAACATACAAATCAAAAAATGAAAGTGCATAATATTTTTGTTTGCCCAAGTTTAGTAATGAAAAGTGTTTTGAAAAATCCAAACAGCTGCAATCTTGAGCAATTACTGAAGCACCTCGAAAATGCAAATGAGTAATTCATAAATTTGGGTTATTCAAAAAACTTTCATGTTAAACTCCAAAATCCTTTTACTTTCCAAGAATTCCACTTTTGAATATTTATTTAGCACTTGT